TTGTGGGATTTTCCACCGGTGTAAAGAGAGAGCCTACGACAGTTGTTGTGCCAAGGTAGTTATCCCCGATAGAAAGTGTTTCCCCTGTCCGCGGGAGCGCGCACGTCTTGCTATTGAATGAAAAATACGAATGAAAACATTTATTCTGTGTACATTTCTGATCAAGCCTGAAAATATTGGAGAGTTTGTACAGGTTAGCTCACTTCTATCCTATGTTACAGGGGGATACAAATTATTTCAGACCATATTTTTGAGCCTGATATAAAGTGTATTCCCCCTCCAGAATGCTATAATCATGAGCTACCCTCATAACATTTATTTTGTCCTCATTTCTGACCAAAGCTGATAGGGGAAACACTTTCTATCGGTGATAACTACCTTGGCTCAACACCTGTATGGGTCCCCAAGGAAACGCCAGCGAACATGGCTTCTCGCTGTCTCTTGATCATCACGTTTCACACCCCTTGTTGCGGTCATTTTCTTTGAATTGTCTTCCCAAAAGATGGCTTTATTTTCATTAGTAAGGCTACCTTTCAATCTGATGAATAAAGTGACTTTGTTTGCCTTCACTTCATCCATTATGCCTATTTTGTCCAGACAAAGAGCCGACTGTCGTTTTCTATTCGAAGTTAGAATGTTTTCTCGGTTTCGCCGAATTACTGATTCTCAGTGGATACCTGTATATACTAAGTGTGATAATTTGATTACCGAGTGACAATACCTGAATGTGTCGCAAATGCTTCAAGACATATGAGAAGAACCATGCAAGATTTGGTTCTCATTTTCTATTTAAGGGCTACGGAGAAATCAAAGCACACTGGCGATCGGTCAGCTGAGGAGATTAAGAAAACATACCTCTACATAAATGACTGGTTTTGACGTGTTAACAATCATTCATTTAACTTGAAATTATATGAACTAGGAAAACATAATTCAACATCATCAGCAGTGGCCGTTATCCTCTTAAAGGTAAGACGAAAAATAAATTAGATCGAGGCAAAGTTGCGTTTCAATCGACGTTATCGAAATGTGGATTCTTGTACAGTTTCATTTATTCTTTAGCCTACTATTTTATGTATGTTTAATTTCATTTTGACTTCATGACATAGCTTACACAGGCCTACATTTAAACTGGTGACTGTGGCCTATAATAAATTAAACATCTCAGCACCATTGAAGTGGACAGCAGCGCAAAGCGAAGTTAAGAAGTAGGGCTAATTAACTTTCGTGCATGCGCTCCCGCGTAAGAGCTTCTTCGGAAAACGCACGTTAAAAACGAGGGACTCTCATAAGATCGCTCGTAGCAAACCCTCTTAGAGCTCTGCGATCGATCGTTATTGGGAAACGAGGCCCTGCAGTTTGAAATCTCTGCCATAGAGTTTGCTGAGCCAATAATCATGTCCTTTCTGTAATTATACAACCTTTAACACTTTTCAAAATATTGACAAATAAATGTCTTCTTGACTGCAGAGTCATAATATTCGCAAGGTTCAAACATCACATTGCTTTGCTGTTCAATTTCACTAATTTCTACTGGAGACATTTAGAGCTCTACTGACAATTTATGCATCAGTAAAGATTTTGACAGTTGGCTCGTCACTGGCCTACAATCAGTTAGCCCAGTTGCAATATATATTATCATTTCAAAGGCTTCTCAGTCCTGTCAATCTCTGGTCTATCTTTAACCACGCAAAGGCTCTTTTCTGAGGTCCCCTGCCGAAACCTATTGCACAAGAACAACTGGGACAGTCCTACAGGCTGCCAGCCCTGAAAGGTAGAAAAAATTCTTTGATTGCCAAACAACCAGTCTGTATACGAAATGAAGGTACATGGAAAAACAAATGAAAATATATTTGGTCATATTACGGACAGTAGAAATTGTCCATGATTTCAATTTGCAGAGGAAATGGGTATTTGTCTCTTAACACCTACTCACAAACTGAGATTGATTTTATCTTCCCTCTCTCCCTCCAGACATCCATAATGGGTGCTCATTATGGCTTTCTTGAAAAACCACCCACAACGCAATTATAATCTAGCGCCAACTGCATTTTTGTGTGAAAATCAGGCAGGGCTACCTTGTTGCCAAAACCAGAATGTACTGAACACTGGGGATAAAACTGATGCTAAGATCCTCTGCTAACTCCACAGTGTAGGGCGTCACACTGCAGTGCACACTAATGGAATATGTCTTGCTGTTAGCAGCAGGGTCTACCATTGTTTATTAGAGTCAGGATGTCTTCATCGGGAGATTAATGTTTTACTTAATATATTTTGATGACTAAATCACCAATTTTGTAATATTAATACTGTCCAAAATTTACATAAACTGGTAACAGTGTGAACCTGAAGTCTCCCTCAGTTCTTTTTACTGTACTGAATAGACTATGTATACCCTAGAACTGTTGAAGGGTTACTGCCCATTAGAATTTAAAAAGTAAGTATAGAACTTAAATGACTAGATGTATGGTGTTCCACAGAAGATGGATCCTCAGCTAACCAGCTACCACTAGATCTTTGGTGTGTTGGAACACTGAGCTGGGAGCTTCAGCTTGAAAATAAATCCTTGAGGGAAAATTCAGAAAGTCTTCTACATAGCAGGCAGGTGGATTGACTATATCTGTCTTTGAGGTAGAAATGACCTTTGCAATCTATAATCCATTTTTATGTAACATAACCTCTGTAGGGTACTTGCTTATAACCTCGCAACAACAGCTTTAACAATCAGGACAGAATTGAAGCAATCCACACCTGACCCCATGTCAACAAAAAAAGAACGTCGTCAGCTTCTCAAAACTGGTGGCCATAGCAGCATTTCTCATGATTTGCCATGTCTTTGGATTGTTAGTAGAAACCCCACGTGAACACATATCATGCTTTGAGCAAATGCCACGCGAGGAGGATCTAAGCCAGAATGTGAACCCAGAGCCTGCATTTGGTAAGGTAGCGGATATTACCACTCATACATCCTTGCGGCGCATAAGGTTTCCCCTTTAGCCGCTCAAACGTGGGAAAAGCCACTTTACAGTTGCTGCTGTGCTTCAACCTTAGTTTGATAGATTCAATATGGTTGGAGAGATATGGAAAATACTTCCACCATACATTGAATGAATCGGAGGCAAATTTCACTATTTAAAAAACACAGAGCAAAATTGAGCCCCTGAGGACAAGAGTGGTCGAACTCCGTTTTTCATAGTTTTGAGATAATCTATGCCAAAGTTCAAGCCCTGGATAAAATTCAGGACACATGCAGGGTATGCCATCTGTTGTTAACCTGAGAGTTTATGACCCATGTTTTTCAAGATAACACAACTTTTTTCCGCAAAAGTAATATTTCAGAGGTTACTGTCTCTAAATTTTCTGAAAAAGGCCCATTTTATAAGTTAGACCACTCTTGCACTGGCTGTCTTAACAAATGTAACTGACTTAAGACAAGTAAATTAATAACTCAATTTTAATAACTCAATAATAGTTTTAATTTCTGGCATCCTTGGAATTCGAAACACAAAATAACAAGAGAATACAGATCAAAAGTGAAACTTTGTATTGCAAACTGCTGGCCACTGAGAAAGTCATCCATCAGCTAATCTTGTTCCTCACAGCTTTCTTCACTGTCATCATCTGGATAAAAGTTTGGGCCATCTTCATCTTCGATAAGACCCAGATAAAATGAGTGGTGGACAGGCGGTACAAGGTTGAGATCATCTTTCAAATACTTGACTTTTGAAGGGTTCAAAGAGTTAGATCACTGTTGCACTCATGCTTTTTGTCTTAATGGAAGTGAGGATAACTCAAAATCTCTGTATAGTAAGATGCATCACTGTGAAATCTAGACCACTTATGCCCTGAATAGATTTTACCTTTAACTTGCGAAATATGGGTCTAACTCAAAAATGGGAAAATTAGAGTTAGACCACTATTACACTCAGTGACTCAATTGTAAGGCTCCAATGAAGAGAAGCCTCACACTAAAAATAACATTGTTATTTTGTGTCCAAAACCAATATTTAGTGATATGAACAAACTACTTCCCCATGTCATTTTTAACATAATAGTTACCATGAGCCAGAGCCGGTAAGAATCGGTTTTGGGAAAGTGTAGCAAGAAACTGAAGCCTCTACAATCTCCATTACGCAAGAAGTAGACTCAAGAGACTGCGGAACGGCTTGAGAAAAATGTCGAGGTGATCATAGATTGCATTAGACATTTCAGCCCACTGGGAGAAAGAGGAGTTGAAGGTAACACACAAGAATCGCCTGTATACAATCAGAGTCGTTATAGTAATGGCTTTTGCAGTGGAAGACCAAAGAAACTGAGTTTAGCCGGGATGTGAAAACAGGCATCTCTCCACCAACTCCTGCCTGAGTTTGTTCGCCAGCCCGTCTAACCCTCCTATGATGTGTTCTCTCTTCCTCCCTCCTCTGTTTCTGTCCCTAGCTTGGAGGGTCATATTGCGCTCATTTTCTTAGACACACTTATGCATGTCTTCTATTGTTATTTAGGCCTTAGAAGCAAGGAATGGAAAAAATGTCAATATGTTTATTAATTTGGAAATCCAAACCACCAACCTTTAAAGCGCACATACTCACAAGCAGCCCAAAGGTCACCGAACACGCCTGAACAAAAATATTGCAAGGCTTCTCCTCTGAGCTGCAAAACTGGATGGTGGAGAGTACTCTGGGCCCTTTTATTGCAAACCTCGAGCACAGATGAAATGTAACGTTCAGCTTGTTAGCTCCCACTGAATCATACTTAAGGAAAGCAAGCTCCCAACAACTAATGTTAATACAAAAAGCAGCATGAATTGTGGCCAGCTGCTTTGTTTGTACTGGGCTGGTACTGTTATTCCGTCAAATCAACAGTACAAATGAGTCCCAACCAGTCATTTAGGGTGGACCAGTTGATCAAAAAGGGCCCACTCACAACATCATGCCTGCTTGCAGGCAAGTGTGGCAGGCCAAAGGAGGGCTTGGGCAGGGGATTGAACTCCTAAAGAGCCTGGCTCTTTGGCGATGTGGTCAGCGCGTTTGACTCTTACTCGGGAGTCTGGGTTTCAATACCTGCCTGGGCCCTCCTTTGGCCTGCCACAGAAGCTGCCAAAACTACCAGTAGACTTCTAAGCTATGTACTTTGTTCAAACATCTTATTCAGATGGCTGCTAGTCTAATATAATGCATAAACCTTTGGCATGGCACGATTTAGCAGTCAACACTTTAGCTTTAATAGCAAAAGGAGCATTACGCAGTAACTCTGTGATCATTAATTGGGAATAAAACTACATATTAATGATAACTTGTTCCCTGCATAACTGGTTAAGTTGTTCTTGAACTCATCGCTGTTACAGACCAGTCAGATTTAGACCAGTTTAGACCAGATCAATTGAGATCAGTGCGATGGTTAGCGAGTAAGTTATTTAATTGTAGTCTAACTAATTTGGCTAGGCAGGCAGTCGATGTGACTGAGCTGAATGCTCTTTTGCAAAGCTTCAAAAATAGTTGTTGGCTGTAGTTATTTCCTCTTAATGTGGCTAAGTGTTATCCTGACTAAGCCAAGGTTATTACTGTAGTCAGACTGTTGCACTAATGTTTTGAGTTGAGCTATTTATGACAATGGGCTGAATAGAAAAATCAAGTACTTCAGTAATATCAAACTCATTTTTATTGAATGAAATTCTTTTGACAAATCAAAGTTTTTGATTCATGCCACTGTGATTCAGATGTCCAACCACAAAAAAATGGTACTTTTATGTTTGTGTTCAAGGAGCTGTGTCACAATCACTGCACATGCTCAGAACTTTGTATGAAGTAAATCTGCTGGACTGCAAGTAAAACAATCTAGACAATTTTTTTTTCCCTTTATAATTATTGGCGATAGCAACCAGCTTACATGCTTTATATCCCTTAGCTAAAGCTTAAAACAGCGTTTTGAATCCTCAAATTTCCATAGAAAGCTCCTTGATATAAAAACATAGTGCTGGAGTAACTAAAATATATAAATACAATGCAAAACAAAGATGGATTGGCAGGGATGGAATAAGATTATGTCTTGCAGTCAGGCAGATTCACTTTCTTGGGATGTAAGTTCTGAGTATGCGCAGTAATACTCAAACACAGTCACAACTCCTTTCAGACTCAATCATTCAGATGGTCACATTTACCGTCAGGGGAAAATCCTATTCATGTCAGTTGTCTTAGATTTTTTTTTTTTTTTTAATTTTAGTGTGCCTGGCAATGGTCATAATTACAAATGATGACTACCATTGACGCAAGTTCTTTTTTTTTTTTGTTAAAATAGCCACCATCACAGGAACTACACTGAAATAGTACAGTCTGTTGTCAGCTGGTTTATTAGTACGTCTGTAGTCCGCCCATCAAAATTTTCCATAAAAGATTTCTTCTCAAGTTCTGCCTGGCAGATTTGGATCAGACAAATGTTCCCTTAATGGTCCTGACTAAGTGTTGTCATTTTTTTTTTTTTTTTTTGCCAAATTTGGAGGCCAGTTTGGCAACCCTGGCCTCTGATTGGCTGAAGCATTTTCAAATTCTTCTCAGGTTCTTCTAGGCAGATTTGGATCAGACTTTGCACAGATGTTATTTTATGGCTATGACCAAGTGTAATTTTTTGGCTTGATTCAAAATCCAGTGATTGGGTGAGGCCAGATTATGAGCTGATTTGGTGCTAAAGTAGGTCTCATGGCCCTGAGTGTTGTTATTTTCAGGTCAATACAGGATCCAGTGTGCCTACCTTAACCTGTGATTGGCTGACGCATTTTCGACCTCTTGACACTTGGTGCATTTGAATCAAACTTGTCCACCTCTAAGCCCTGACCGAGTTTTCATATATATTGAATCAATCTAGAATCCAGAATAGTTGTCCTTGTATCTAACTGGCTGACACAATTTCAACTTCTTCTCAAATTATAGAGGGTAGATTTGGATCAAACTGCCAATAGTGTTCAACGTCTTGATCCGATACAGTTGAAATGTTGACATTTTTTCAGTGCATGGATTACAAATTCATTGAGTATGGAACTCTCAAGACTGATTTACTTACCCAAATTTTTTTTTGTATTACAGTGGCTCACACCCACTTCCTAGTGCATTTTGTGCCACAACTGACATTTTTACGATTTATCCTCACTTCAGTACTCACCGTAGATGATAAAACAACTTCTGTATGTTGGCATGTGGCAGAGTAGACTGAGATTTGCTTTGGAGTACTGCATAACTGAAAATAATTGCCACAATGTCAAACCAGGTGAGCAATATAGGCCCCTGGGCTTCTTGTTACTGAAAAAATGATTTTTTAAACACTGATCCTGGGAAAAAAAAAAAAAAATCTCAATGGCTTTCATCCTTCTAAGGTGTTTTGCTTCTAGTCTGTCCCACTCAACACTCACCCACCTGCCACCAGTATTTATTTACTGTCTATGGTGTTCATGTTCATTGTAAGGGTTGTTTAACCCTTTACCTCTCAAGAGCACTCTCCCACAACACCTTTGTATTCATAGGAGTGTCATATGGCACTCTCGTAGTTGCTATGTTTAGACCAATCAAACCATTTGTTTTATGTTTTAATTGTGTGTTATCCTGACTTAACCAGTCAGAACAAGCCTTGTAGATAACTTTTGCATAATCATATGCCATAGCTACCCCCGAAACTTTCAAGATTTCTGCCTACAATTTTTAGTAAACATAATGGCGGAAAATGTTATTGACAACAATTCAGACACATTGGACATTAAAGGATTCCTGCCAGAGGAATTACAGTCTAAAAGAGAAGAAAAGACTCTGATAGCAACATCAGTATTTCTTCCATTAATACAGATGATTTCTCTGACTTGTCTTCAAGTGTGGGTGAGTCTAAACATAAAGACAGTTGGTGGTGATGACCTAGTCAAATCAGAGTTCTACAGAGTAATTTTTTTGTTACATAATGTTGTTTACCTTGTAGTTTTCACTGGACAGAACTTCATATGAGGGTACCATAAAAGTAGCAAACTAGCTGAAACTGCCTCAGGGAGGAGCGGCCTGGTATGTATTTCACTCCTGGGAGGTAAAGCGTTAATAAAACTGTTTTATTTATGAGAGATATGTTGCCTTTACTTTATTCATGAACCAGATTACCCTCATTTTACATCGAGTGCAAGCAGTCCCTCACCACACACGCGCACAGGCAAATTCTGCATGGAAGGTAGCTGATCAAAGTCCACTGTGAAGTCTGGTAGCCACAGTGGCTAATCCAATTTCCAACCCAGTACTTGCCTAAATTCCTTTAATAACCTTTAACACAGTGAGTGCTCTCCCACAGTGGATTTTGGGCACTGTAATATAATTTGGCCCCTAACTCCATGAGTGCAGTGATGACATTCACAGCAAACTGTTTCACTCAATTTCTGGCAATCAGAATGCTGCCTGCAGAATAATATAGGCTACTTAAACAGTTGGCAAAGTCTTTGGGGGTTGCCCGGGCTTTGCAAAGATTATGGCATCAGCTCCATGTGCGAGGGTGCAGCTCTTCTGTCAAGATCATGGTCTGAATGAGGCAAATTTCTGATTGTACAGAGCCAGAGATTAGACAACAGACTGTCACATATAATTCTACCTGCCCCACAGAATCTAAAGCCAAGCTGTATCCCATTGAGATCTTGTCTGTTTCTCACCCTATTACTTCAAAACTTTCCTTAAGAGGAATTGGAGATGAAAATCTATTGAAGACAAAACCTAGTTATCTCTTTGCTATCACCTTAACAAATTGGAAAAAACTAACTTGGTCTTGTCAATAGGAGTGTCTCAACATGAAGCCTAGAGGTTAGTTCATACGATTTTAGCCTCTAGCGTGGATTACTGCAAATGCACTTCTACCTGGATCCACAGACAAGTTGTTAAAAAGCTTTCAGTTGACATAGTCACCAGCACTAGATGTTTTGAACATATTATTCCAGTGCTGACCTCCCTGAACTTTCTGCCGGTGAAATGCAGAGTTCATTTCAAAATACTGCTCTTAATTCATGAGGCACTTTGCAATAGCACGGACAAATCTAAAACATCCTGTCCATTTATCATTAAAAACTTGAAGAGAATATTCTGTGCTGCATAAGTCAAACTATCCTGAATTTCCTCCCCAAAAAATGTTGCCTTGTTAATTGAAATCGCCGGGATAAACAACACGCCTTTGGTCCTCATTGGTTTGCCAGGATCTGTAAATATGCTCTTTTAATGGTAACCAACCACATTCTACATTTTAGCCACGCAGAATCTTTAATGACCCAATTGCTCCCTGTAATAGTCATCAAAGAATTTTTCATTCACAAAGTGCAGCCCATCTTATTATTTCATGGACAGGTAAGTTAACAGTGGGTGGTAGAGTCTTTGCCATTCCCCTCTATGACTCAGTTGTGGTTTTGTTGGGTTTTTTCAGTCTGACCTCATTATGGTACTGGCTCACTGTATTCAGTGCCTTTATTATGCTGCCTTAAGCCCAGTCTGTCGGAGGTGTTTTTAATGACACGCCCCACAGCTTTTTCACAAACACTGCTCATTTTCTCCTTACCTTCCACTCACCCCCTCTACCCCTCACTCTGTTGGAGCACTATACTATGAAACTACGCCATACTGCTTACGTGGATGGAGCATCAAACTCGCTTCAAACATGGCCGTATGCAGACTTTTAGACATAACAAAGTGTACATCTTGAACCGGCTTGGGGGTTCCGAGGCATGCTCCATTTGGAAAAATATATATCCACGATGTATTTAAATATGTGCATTTAAAGAATTTTGAATGGCAATTGCTTGAGGCAATCTGGGTGGGCAGTAACTTTGATATAACAAGCAGTAATGCACGGAAATTAAGTTAAGTCTTGATATGAGATACTCTTACAGTAGATTCAGGAAATTTAGGAACGGCTAAAATGATCATGATCATAATTAACAATATTGAATAAATCTTTTTTCACGAAAGTATACACTCCAGATTTTTTTTTGTAGATTTTTATAAAACAAAATGGCCCGGTTTGGAGCAAGAAATAATACTCCAATTCTGTCTCATTAAATCATTTTTTGTTTGTAGTA